CAACAGTATATCCTTGCTATCCTTTCATATTGGCCCTATTTCTCTCCACAATTCTTAATCACAGCGTGACATTTTATATACTTGTCTTGTTTCCCCAAATTATAAAGTAGTAAGCTCCATAATAGAATTGTTTCATTCTCTGATGCTATCCTAGTGCTTACTGGACTAACACATATTAAATGAAAGCATAAATTTGCTTCACTTGGTACTAAAAATCATAAAGGTGAACTTACTTGAATAAGCCAATATAATTCTTTTCCAGCACCAATCAAGATGACAATATTATAACATAAAATTTAGAGGATACAAAACTTAGATATAACAGGTACTGTGACAGTTTTATAAGTAACTATTTTTTTAATGAATTTAGGACAGGGTCTACAGGGTCTCGCTACATAGATCAGACTTGTAATGATTCAGCCTCCCAAGTGCTGGGATTATAGGCACGCCACCAGGACCGGTCTCAATTTCAGCCTCAGTATGCCCTGGCGGCAAGGCTCGCATGGCACACCGGGAATGAACCCTGGTGGCTAAAGTAACATTTTTTTAAAAACCTAAATTTATCCTTAAAGGTATTTCACCTGTAATCTACCTACCAGGAACCCTACCAACCCTGAACAAAGAATTTGTTAGAATACTTAAATATCATGAATGTAACTCAAAATAATTTTTAGTTTAAATTTTATTACATGCTTCGGGCTGGCCTGATAGCTCATCGGACTACAGCACCTGCTTAGGCAGAGCGCAGCGGCCAGGGTGTGTTGGCCCTGTTCCCCAGGGCGAGCTGAGGTGGAGACTGAGACTGGGCAAGGTGGCACATGCCTGTAATACCAGCACTTGAGAGGGTGAAAACAGGAGGATCACTATGAGTCTGATCTACATAGTTAAGACCTTATACACCCCATAGACCCTGTCTTAAATGAAAGAAAGAAAGAAAGAAAGAAAGAAAGAAAGAAAGAAAGAAAGAAGTTAATTAATTTTATTACCTGCTTCAACTTTCCCTGTTTACTTTTTGGGGGCTACTGCAGACTGAACTCCTGTCTTTCATACTAAGTTATATTACAGTCCTTTTTTAAAAACAAGGTGTTGCTAAATTCCCTAAACTGAACTTGAATGTTGATCCTCCTTCCTCCCAGGGTAGTGGGATTAGTGTGTGCTACCATCCATAGCTGTTTACATGATTATTCACTTAATATATGGTTATAGATTTTTAGTCTATAAAAAATAAAGTTAACTGAGTCAGGCATGGTAATACATCCCAGAGACCTGCAAATGGGCAATTTAGCAAGACCTTGTCTCAAAACAAAAAGCTCAATGGTAGATCACCCTGGAATTTGTGCCTACTATCACAAAACTACACACAAAACATCCCAAAATAAAATGCAAACTTAATTAGCATCAAAGAGAGCTAGTCTGTTTTTAGGGATATCTGAAAGACTAGAAAACAAATGAAGTTGAGGTAACACTGGTTTCTAGAACACAATATTAAACTTTCATAATCAAAAAAGGCTGGGCAGAATATTGGAGCCTCAATTTCTCCATCTCAATAAAGAGGACCATCATCACGGTCCAAAATTATTATATAGTTTTTGAAGATGGCACACAAATGGCGTGATACATGGTAAATGGCACAAAACACATTTAATTACGTTGATTTCTCTTCAGCAAATAAGTGACAGACTTCCAATCAATATTCCTTGAAACCCCTAGGGAAAATTCACAGGATAAAGGGTCCCCGTTTCTAAATTTTACTGAAAAAAAATCTTGGTTAAGCCCCAAATTTCCAGAATTCTTAAACAGATACTATTTTTACTTGTAAGAAATAAACTTGCTTATGTTTGTTTCTCTCTTAGAAGTTTGGGGCTGGTAATATAGTTCAGTGATGGAGTGATTGCCTAGTATAAGAGGCCCTGGGTCCAATTCCAGTACTACAGGGGAAGAATCATTGGTGTTGGCCTGGACACAGTGTAAGCCTGGCTACCCAAGCAGCAAAGGCAGGAGGATCACAAGAAGTTCCAGGGTAGCCTGAGCAATTTAGTGAGCACTGTCTCAAAACTAATGAAAAGGAAATACTTTCCTAACTTGTGTAAGGGTCTGGGTTTAACCTCCTGCATTAGAAAAAAACAAAAAAATAAACCACAAACCAAACCACCAAAAAACTTTCCATAAGAATCCTCCCCAACTCCACCCCCAACCCCCCCCCCATACGGGGGATTTACATGTTTTTTGTTTGTTTTTTTGGCGGAACCAGGGATTGAACTCAAGCCCTTACAGTTGGCAGGCAAATGCTTATTCTACTGAGCCATCTCCCTGCCGCCGCCCCCCCGCACCCCCCCCTTACTGCACTTGCCAGACAGGTGCTTATGCCACTGAGCTATCTCCCCGGCTCTCCTGGAGTTCTTGATATACCACAAAGTTAAACGTAATCTGACAAAAAGCAAGTTACAACAGGTTTAAAATTTAAAAGCATTTACAACATTTAACTACTTATGTCAAAATAACTACCAAGTCTCAATTTTGATGTTCACATTACATGAATGTGGTAAGAATCTTATTATTCTCCACGACAACTTTTTTAAAACCTTGACAGACACAATAACCACCTAAAGTCAATTTTACATAAAGACAAAGGTTATTTCATTTTCTAAGGACAACCTATTTTTATATGAGAAAAATGGAATGACTAAAACATCATTTGGAGTCAATTAAAGTTGAATTCTAAATTTTAAGAAAAAAATGAATATATACTCAGGGCTATGAGTCAGACTTATCTAATAATCACAACTTTTCAAAGTCAAAGTTAGTCCCCATTTCCCAGGATGAAAATGACTTGAGTCATTTGGTGATTTTTCACAGGTTAAAACCACCATGCGGGGGCGGGGAGATGGCTCAGTAGACTAAGCGGCCTGAGTTCAATCCCCGGTTCCATAAAATAAAATCAAACCAAACCAAACCACCATTAATAAATAACTGGGTGCTATGGTCCTAAATTCTGTGTCTCTCAAAAGTTGGTAACTCATAAAGATGGATGCATAATCCTACTTCCCGTATCATCAATAATGATTAAGCTCAGCTAAGACAGATATGAACATATAATCAAAGCAAAATAGACAAAATTCAAACTTGGCCACCCTAGCTAACATTCAGAAGTTTAAGATGATTGGTTTTAAAATTATGTAAAGGGCTCAGCTATCTTGTAAAGTACTTAGAAACATTTCAAATTTAAAATAACACTATCTACTCATGTTTTAACATTGAGAGCAAGCTTTGGAGGTGGAGCTCACTTTGGATTGGCTAGGTGCCTAACATCCCACAAGTTTTCTTGGCTCATAGCATTAAGATCTTATATTAGGCAATTCAGGTCTCTATATAGAGTTCAACTTCAGTAAGCAGGCATGTACCTCATTGAAATAAGTCACAAATGGATGTAAGAAATCAACTATCTGATACAGTAGTAGTCTTCACACTATAACAGGGTTTTGGTAAAGAAATAGAAAACAGGGGGCCAGGGAGATGGCTCAGTAGAGTAAGCACTGCCCTGGCAAGAGCAAGGGCCTGAGTTCAATCCCTGGCTCCACCAAAAAAAAAGGGCATTAGAAAACCATCTTTTCCTTACTAATCTATCGAACAGTCAAGTTTGTGATCTTGAGCAAGGCATTATTAACTGTATGGTCTTCAAGTTTCTTAATCAGCAAAAGGAGTATGTACCAATTTTGTCTGCTTCACAAGGGGCTGTAAATCGCAATGCTCTCAATCCATAAAAATAGGGGGCCTGCCCTTTAGCTCAGGTGTTTAAGTGCCTGCTGAAACAAAGCATTCAGGCTCAGGATGCTGTGGTTCGATCCCCTCATCCTCAAGCCAAACCAGACCTGCCCTGAAGGCATCCTGAGCACCCCTCACCCCTCAAAAAAAATCCATAAAAATACTATCTAGCCAGGTGTAGTGGACAGGTCCTAAATAAACCCCAGTTACTTGGGAGGATAAGGGAAAATGAGTCCCAGTCTGAGGCTAACCTGGGCAACTTAGCACGATGTGCACTCAAAATAATAAAAATGGGCTGAGGATATATAGCTCAAGGCATTTTTTGCCTAAAATCAGAAAGCCCTGGGTTTAGATCCCAGTGTCAGAAATTAACCAGCTATACAAAACAAACATAACACAATGCTTAAAAAGCATTTTAAAAAAACATTAAACTCCACCCTACTACATATTCAAAGATGGAGAACACTTATTACAACACTGAATTCTAGTCTGATGGGACATTCTAATATTTATTAAATCCGTAATTTTTAAAAATACTTTTTAAATTTTTTTGGATGGAACCAGGGATTGAACTCAGGCCCTTGCACTTACTCTACTGAGCTATCTCCCCGGCCCCTACATCTGTAATATTTATGCACTGTAATGGTATTACTGAAAAGTTTTTCTCCAAGCTTAATAACTACAAGAAATATATTTAGAGATAGAAAAGAGATAATGAACAACAAAAACAAAATGCTACCAAGTCTTGTGTTTCTTTTTTAAAGAACCCACTCAATAAACTTCTAAAAACCAACATACATCATAAAGATCTAGATTACAAAGTAAACTGTTTTCAATAGGATTCTACACTACATGCATGCAATACATGAGCCCTTGAAAGACTTAAGGAGCTGCACATATATAACTGTTACAATTCCACATGAAAGGACAACTACAAATCTTTTAGGCCATGATAAAAAATTTTATAGTTTTCTCGCCATTGAAAAAATTGATTTGCTTAGGATACTGGAAATCCAAAAACATTCTTAGAAATAACAACCTACACAAGACTTTTAAAGTTTAACCTCAGTCAACATCACAAAGCCACCTTATTGATGGTAATCTTGATAATCTTTCCTCAACCTACACCTGATTGGAGAAAGACTGCCATCTGAATGAAATAAAATAAGCTACCTTGAAAACATTTTTTCCCGTTATAGTATTTTAATAAGGTTTTAAACGTCTACATGTCTACCTACCACAGCAAACTTGATAGCCAAAACTATTACCTAAACAAAAGGACAGAATTTGTGATGATCGATCCATGATTGCCGCACATCTTCTGAAACAGAATTTAACTACGTAAAAAAGTAAACTGAAAAATGCACAAACACAAATCATGACAATAACACGGTCATGGAAGCATTTCTGTACTGGGCAAAAGAATCGTTTCTTTTACAATGACAGTAAAATTTTCAGTCCTTCGAGATCAAATTAAACTTTCTTCAGCATCAAAAGGAACTTGGGATTTTCCATTATGTCTTCACTGACTTATGAAAAGCGGTTTAAAAGGCCATCTAACAGGAGTTTCATAGGAATTCAACATGAGACTTGAAGTTCAAAAATTTTTTCGAATTTCTGAAAGCTGTCCTTAAAAAAGCCCTTAAAATCCTCTCAAGACATGCACTCATTTAAAAATGGAAGTCTAGAGCGAACATAGCTGCAATGCTACCCCACTGCGTGACGTGAAATGTGGCACACAAGCCCTTCCTCTTCCCCTGGCATCGGGGCCGCCTGGTCCCCGCGAGCCGGCCCACGACGGTGGGAGGGAACGACAAAGGCTGGGAGAGGAGGAGCACGCGGCCAGCGGCCTCCCGGTCTCTCCAAATGCAAAAGGCGGAGGAAATGGCCTGGGGCGCGGAAACGTCTCTGCAGCCTACTAAGGGCCGCGCAGAGCAGCGGCCAGCGCCGCCTGAGGCCCCAGCCGCTCTTCCGCCCGGTCTGTCCCTTCCCAGGCCGAGGCCGTCACGACTCTGTCCTCTGGGCCCCGGGTCGCTCCCGCCGCCAGCTCGCACCTACCTCTGCAGACCCCGGCCGCGCGGGCCTGCCAGTCACCCAGGCCGAGGCCTCACTGCCAGCCGCTGGCCCCGCCGCGCTCCTCCCGTCGCACCCCTTTATTTGCGGATCTCGCTGCCACAAAATGGCGCTGAGGGAAGAAACCGGCCCAGCCGCCCGGCCCTGCCCCGCCCCACCCCGCCGCCCGGCTCCCTCCGCCCCGCCCCGCCCCGCCCCGCAGCCCGCCATGATCATCCAGCCCGCTCACCGAGGAGTCCCCGCAGGGCGCGGCCGCAGTCACTCTTGCCCGCGGCTAGGCCCCGCTGGGGGCGTAAGGCGAGGGAGGCCGGCGGCCGCGTTAATCCGGTAGGGGCTTCGGGGCGTGAGGGAACAGATGCAGCTCGCAAGCGCCTCCCTACCCAGTCCTGGAGTCTGGCGCGCGCCCCGCGGCCGCCAGGGCTCACCACGCTCGCTGGGGGCTGGAAGGGAAGCGGCCGAGGAGAGGGACGGGCTGGAGAGGTCAAAGGTCAGCCGCAAGGTATCACGGGATGGCGGCTCCCGGTGAACGCGCTCTTCCGAGCCACCTGCGGCTACGGCTCAGCTTCAGGCGGAGGGATCTGTATGAAGGAGCCGCGTGATTGGTCATGTTGTGGTGCAGTACGTCTGTGATGCTTCCGCGCGCTGCCGCCAGGTGCGACCTCGGTACCTGGCTGGAGGGCGGATATTGTTCTGTATATAAAGCGTGAACCTGATCCTGCGAGTTTTAAAGCTGTTAAAGACCTTGCTTGCTTCCGCCAGCTCCCTGGCTGCTAGTTCTTCTGCCTGGATGTCTCCAGGCGAAGGCGAGGAGCTATTGTTCTCTGGTGGAGAGAAGTTCCTGTGTCGGGGACCCTGGGGACACTTTTGTAACTCCAAAACGAGGAGGAAGGAAAGCCCTTGGAGGCTTTAATGAGCCGGAGGAGACAAACTCCCTAGTGCAATATACTCCCTTAAACAAGCCTTGGTGCCATCTGGATTACGGGGTTGTAACAGTATTAGCCTGTAAATCTGCAATAGGCCCTTTGTGCTTACCGCAGGGGCCAGCTAGTTCATACCATAGATATATCTGCTTAACTGACTTTACCAGAACTGTATACCCCCAAGAAGGTGTCCTAGCATGAAGTGATTTATAAGTATACAATTACGGTATAATCCAGTTGGTCAAAGGAGTCGTTAAAATCTCTCCTCAGGCTGGAGAAATTACATTCATTTCCATCACAGGTACTGTGGAAAAATCTGAAGGGGAAAAAACACCAAGGTGAACAGATGATTCTCAGAAGAAGGGGAGGTGCAGAGTCCTTAAACAGAAAACGTGTTCTACTAAAACATGCATGCTGGTGTTCTCATAGCAGTTGGGAGACTGAAGCAGGAGGATTGCTGCGAATTGGAGTATTTCACCACATAGTGAGACCCTGTCCCAAAACAAAAAGAAAAACCACCGTAAAAGATTCTCAATTTATAATGAAAATGCATGTTGTCATGTTTTCTGGTGAGAATGGGAAGATGTTTCCAGACCTACCTATGGAGTAAATGCATAATTACATATGCATTTACCTTTGCACTTTGCAGCTTTTTTTTTTTTTTTTTTTCTTACTATTCTCTTTTTTGGTACTGGGAATTGAACTTAGGGCCTAACACTTGCCAGGCAGGGGCTGTGCCCGTAAGCTACATCCTTGGCCCCACTTTGCAACGTTAAAAGACAGCTTAAAAAAAAAAAAGTACTGAGGAATAAACCTAGGGCTTTTGTACTGCATTACATTCCTGGCCCTTATTTTTTATTTATTTTACTGTAAAATAAGGTCTTACTAGATTATCCATTCTTTTTTTTTTTTCCAGAACCAGGGATTGAACTCAGGCCCCTGTGCTTGCCAGGCAAACACTTCTTCTACTGAGCCATCTCCCTGGCCCCAGATTATCCATTCTGAATTTGGACTTGCATTCCTGTTTCCGCTTCCCAGAGTACTGGGATCAAAAATGTGCTACTGTACTTGGTTTGCAACTCCATTTCTACCCCGATCTTATTCTGTGCCAGGTGTGGTGGTGCATACCTGTTATACCAGCACTTGGGAGGCTGAGTCAGGAGGATCATTGCAAGTCCCAGTAGAGACCAGCCTGGGCTACAAAGTGAACTCAAGGCCAGCCTGAACTGCATAGCGAAACCCTGGCTCAAAAAAACCCCCAACAAACAAACAATCCGCAAATGGCAATGATATATATACACACAAGTTTTTCATTGTACTGTTATATGCCACAGCAATGGCTTGGAAATAACTCAAGTAACTCAATAGTTTGGGCATAGTAATTCCATATAATGGAATACTGGCTTGTATCTAGATGTCCCCCAACCCATCATGCAATCATAGATGGAGCTTTTCCTAGGTAGCTGGATCTAGAGTGTGTGCTGCTAAGATCAAGGATGTATGATTACTAACTGAGTCCTCTGATTGGTTTGGCATATCTCTGGGTGTGGATATTGGGAAGGGCCAACCTGGGTGTGAGTGCTACCTGCCCTAAGGAGTATAGCATGGATAGAATACAAGAATACAGGGGCTGGAGAGATGGCTCAGTGGTCTAAAGCACCTACTTGAAACAAGCTTGGCAAAGCAGAGGGACCGCGGTTCGATCCCCAGCACCACATGCCAGCCAGACCCGCCCCCTGGTGGGCTGAGCTGGCCACACACACACACAATAAATAAATGTAATAAATAAAAAATAAATAAATATTTAAAAAAAAAAAAAAAAAAAAAAGAATACAAGAAAGCGTTTCTGGCTGCTTGAGGTGACATACACCTGTAATCTCAGCCCTTGGGAGGCTGAGGCAATAAGATCCCTGCAAGTTCGAGGCCAGCTTGACTTACATAGTAAGAGCCTATCTCAAAAGAAACAAACAAACTTAAAACCAAAAAACAATAACAGAACAGGGCTGCTGTCCTCACGTGCTGTCTGCTCAGTGCTACTTTGCTATTCTGCAGCTTACAGCCTTGCTACCTTCAGAACTGTTTTTCGTTTTCAGTGTCCTTCTGCTGTGTCACCTTGCCTTAGAGCCAGACGATTATGGACTGAACTATGGATTGAAACCTCTTCAAATTGAGCTAAAATAAACTTTTTCTCTGACTTTGAGTGTCACATTTTTATCTCAGCAGTGAACAAAGGAACCAGGACATTGTGTGACCATGAAAAAGAATAGTTGTGTTGTCTTGGAATGACTACTAGGTTATTTTAAGTGCATAAAACAAGGCACAGAAGTACTTAGGGAACGGAAGGGTTTAGGAGGATATCCAAGAAAAATAAGCTGGGCCTGGGCAGGTTGAGGCAGGAAGATTTCAAGTTCAAGACCAGCCTGGGCTACAAAGTGAACTCAAGGCCACCCTGAGCTGCATAGCAAGACCCTGTCTCAAAAAGACAAAAATGGTTACCTATATACAGTGGGGAGGTGGGAGATGAAGGTAAAAAGTAAGACTTCTCTGATATTAAACTCTTTTTTTTTTTTTTGGTGGAACCAGGGATTGAACTTAGGCCCATGCCCGGGAAGCACTTATTCCACTGAGCCATCTCCCCAGCCCCTGACATTGAACTTTGAAAGTCTTATGTAGCCAAAAGGTAACTAGAAAATGAATTAGGTGGGGCCGGGGAGATGGCTCAGTGGAATAAGCACTTCTCTGGCAAGTGCAAGGGCCTGAGTTCAAACCCCGGTTCCGCAAAAAAAAAAAAAAAAGGAAAGGAAAATGAATTAGGGCAGCAGAGATACCTTGGTGGTCTAAGTGCCTGCCTGGCAAGCACAAAGTCCTGAGTTCCATCTCTGCTACTGCATGCTGTGTTGCCCTGGAACCCCAGGCTGGCCATGCCGGCCCAAAACAGCATGGTGGAGCATGACTATGATCCCAGCGTCGTGGAGGCTGACACAGGAGGACCACTACAAGTCTGAACTGTGTAAGGAGACCCTGTATCAAAAAAAGAAAATGAGGGGCCAGGTAGATGGCTCAGTAGGTTAAGTGCTTCCCAGGCAAGCACAAGGGCCTGAGTTCAATCCCTGGTTCTGAAAAAAAAAAATATGAAATAAAGTAAGCTTTGAGTTGAAAGCAAATTGAAACACAACTTTTACGTGAAGTTGGTAACAACTCAAAGTACTATAATCTTCAGCTTTCCTCAGTGTTGTATAATTATAGCAATACCATTTTAGTTACTTTTTTTTTTTTTTTTTTTTTGCA